TAATATCGAAATATTGAGAGATCAGTACGTAATTATTACGTGAAGCGACAGTTGTCTGCAGTTGTCGGTGGGATACGGTTCTGTGTACAAGTTATTCGTGCAAGAGTCGGAAGCCACGTTTTCTGCAAAATCGGTCCTGTTGCTGTATACGTGTAACAGTATACTGTTAGAATCGGCGTTTACCATTTGTCCAACGCGAACAGACCAGGGGCTTCATAACGAGGTCGCCATTCTGTAGGTGCTCACAGTGCCGAAGCTTGTCGGTGTGTGTTGAGCGTGTTAAGAGAAGCTATTGCAGTTGGCATATATTCTTGTATATGTACACCGTGTTCGAGTGTTAAATCTTCATTTTAAGCCATTCGCTTGTGTTTTTTGTTCCATTGCTTAAACCGAAAGCCCAACCATGCCTCGTATAACGATAAAAGGTGGAACGTGGAAGAACACAGAGGATGAGATCTTGAAGGCAGCAGTGATGAAATATGGGAAAAACCAATGGTACCGTACTGCAATACTGGTATGTAGGAAATCGGCAAATGAATGTATATCTCGTTGGTATGAATGGCTTGATCCAAGTATAAAGAAAACAGAGTGGAGCCGTGAAGAAGACGAGAAACTATTGCATCTAGCAAAATTGATGCCAACTCAGTGGCGAACCACAGCACCCATCGTTGGAAGAACAACAGCGCAATGTTTGGAACGTTACGAGTACCTGCTGGATCAGGCACAGAAGGAGGATGATGGAGAGGACGCTGCAGATAACCCACGCAAGTTGAAGCCTGGGGAAATTGACCCCAATCCAGAAACAAAACCTGCATGTCCAGATCCCAAGGACATGGATGAAGATGAGTTGGAGATGTTGTCTGAAGCACGTGCACGACTTGCCAATACTCAGGGAAAGAAAGGGAGAAGCAATTAGAAGAAGCACGTAGGTTGGCAGCTGTACAGAAACTGAGAGAATTGCAAGAGGCTGGAACTGAGTTGGCACCTAGGGAGAAAAAGAAGCGTGGGCTAGACTGTAATGCAGAAATCCCATTTGAAAAGCTCCCTCAACCAGGATTTCATGATACTAGCAATGAGATATTTGATCCGGCAGCTCCTGATTTTAGCTGACTTAGGCAGCAGCATCTTGATGGAGAGCTGAGAACAGAGAAGGAAGAGCGCGAGCGTCGAAAGGACAAGCAGAAATTGAAGCAGTGGAAGGAGAATGATATTCTTATGGCTATGCTGCAGAATCAAGAGCCAGCTAAGAAGCGCAGGAAGTTGGTTTTACCAGAACCTCAGATATCAGACCAGGAGCTGCAACAGGTGGTGAAATTGAGACGCGCGAGTGAGGCAGCCAGAGAAGTTTCTACTGAGGGTGGACACCAGCCTTCAGATACACTGCTGGCCGATTATTCTCTGACCCCTGCAGGGGGCACTCACAACTGACAGGATCTTCCAGGAGGCTCAGAACATGATGGCTCTCACTCATGTAGACAGAACCTCTTAAAGGAGGATTGAATACACACTTGCATAGTTCAAACTTCTCAGGCATGACTCCACAATGGGAAATTGTCACCACACCAAACACAGTGCTCGCAACTCCATTCAGAAGCCAACGTAGTGATGCACTTCATGCTCCAGCTGGTGGGGGTTTCCATACACCAAACCTAGATGGCAACAGCGGTGCTGTTGCACCTACACCCATTCATCACAAACTAAGCATTAATTCAGAAGAGGGGGTGGTTGTGGGGCACACACCCCAAACCATGCATAGTTATCAGCGCCAGTTAAAAGAGCAGCTTCTATCTGGGTTGAACTCTTTGCCTGCCCCAAGGAATGATTATGAGATAGTTGTCCCAGATTCTGAGGAAGAAATCGAAGCTCCAGTAGACACTGCGAACAGTGTAGACGACCAAGCAGATGTGGACACCAGATACCTTGCTGAGTTGAAGGCCAAACGCGAACTGGAGATGCAAAGCCGTTCCCAGCCAGTTCAGCGGGACTTGCTTCGACCAATGGAAGTCACCATGACAGTACTGCGTCCACCTCACGCAGACACCCCACTCACAGAACTACACAAGGCTGAGAAATTGATCAAAAGAGAAATGATCACAATGCTACATTATGATGCAGTCTATTCACCACCTGTCATACCAGCTGAAACCAAGAAGCGTGGTCAAGTGAGAAGCCAAGCACAGCATTTAGCGTACCTTGAGCAGCATCCCTATGAGACCTACAGCCAGGATCAACTAGCCCAGGCACACGCAGTATTACAGCGAGAGATGAAAGTAGTAAAACAAAGCATGGGGCATGAAGACTTGTCCTTGGAGTCGTACACTCAAGTGTGGGAGGAATGTCTTGCACACATACTCTTTCTGACAAGTCAAAATCGGTACACACATGCCAGCGTAGCCAGTAAGAAAGATCGTATTGAGTCACAAGAAAAATGCATGGAGCAGAACCGAGGCCACATGACACGTGAGGCAAAGAGGGCTGCCAAGATAGAGAAGAAACTGAAAATCCTTACAGGAGGCTTCCAGTCACGAGCACAGGTACTTATAAAACAACGGCATGATTTGTATGAGCAGACAGAGCAGGCACAACTTGAACTGCCGACATTCAATTTCCTTCAGTGCCAGGAAATGGCTGCCATTCCATGAAGACTTGAGTCGCTGACAGAGGATGTTAGCAGGCAAACTGAACGAGGTAAGACATTGCAGGCCAAGTTTGCTGAGCTTCAACAAACAGTGGAACAGTTACAGGACTGAATGTTCACTCTAGAAGGCTGCAGAAGTTACATTTGGAGGCACCTAACTGTGCTTACTGTTTCCTTAATTGCATTGTAAGTAAATGTACCTGATCGCTGCTAGGGGCAATAGGCCAGTAAACACTTACCCGCAGTGATGCAACAGCAGAGGAGCTGTGCTAGGCCATGAGATGGTAAACACTTCCCCGCTGTGAGGTATGCTGGAAATAAGAACAGAGAACAAAAGTTTCTCTGAATTTTTTTCTCATAATGCACTGTTGGCAAGTACTAGTTTTGTTGTATTCTTGAAAGCAATTTATGGAACGAATATTGATGTGAGTTCTGCAAGAAAGCAATATTAAATTTTCATATTGTAAATTTCACATGGTTTGTTTGAATAATTATCCATTCACTGTCATTAAACTTGCAAATGATGATAAGAAGTAACAGCACTTACTGTAGTGTACTGCATAAGTTTAGGCTAGTTTTATAAGCAAACTAAGGAAGCTGGTCTTGGCTTACAGACAGTTCAGCCATATTTACGAAGAACAGAAGCATTGCCATCGTCCCTGCACTTTTACAAGTAGATACATTGTAACCAACATACAACAGCATAATATGTAAATATGTCTGTTGATTACAACAACTTTATACTTTCAATAAATGATAGAATCAAATTGTTGATAGATCAGTTTGGCTTATTCAAATATTTCCACACAACATGTTTCGGTCCTTTACAACCATCATCAGGCATTTATAAACAATAAAATGCATCCGTGTTCATTACTAACCTTAATGACACAGTGGATCCATTGCTAACAGTCTTTTCATATACAAAGTTTTTACATAAGATTACAATGTTTAAATATACTAATATACTTGCTGAACATCAGTAAACCTATTGTTATTTTTATTTTGTACTAACTTTGTCTCATTATGTATAATTTTTTCTTGTTGGGGCAAGGTGGTGATAACATGTTTCACACTTTTTTCCTTATGGGGACATCAGTGTTGTTTGAGTGTCTGTTGATTGCATAAAGCATTTGTTTTAAGCAAGAAACACAAAAAGTAAAACAAAGTAAGGTAAAACAAAACAGATGAGTGTAATTGATATCATCTTACCTTAGATTAATTTTGTGTACTGTTAGAATCCTGAAAGTAGTTCAGCAAATTATAATTCATATTTTCTTGTCATGGGGTGTGCTGGGATAGTTTTTTTTGTAAAATGAGCAATGTTGGGAGCTAGATAACTGGGGTTTCGTTCTCGGGAGAGGCATACATTTTCTCTTCACCATCACTTCCAGACCAATTCTGGACCTAGCCTCATAGCCAGTAAGGCTCCAATCTGGTATTGAAAGCAGCTGGAGCTTAAAGGTGACCATTCACCTTCTTCTGGTGCTGGGGTTAGTACTTTACTTCAATACTCCCTTTACACCTTCATCGTGTGGTGCTTCAGCATGGAAGAATTTTACCCTTTATCGTTACGTCACAGGATCTCATTTTGAACCCAGTCACATTTACATTAGATCAGTGAAGTTACTTTTATAGATCAAGGCACTGGAAGGCCGGGTTGCTGTACTGTGTAAGCAAGAGGCGGGGAGCAGGGATGAACTCTCAGTATAAACAGTCTGCTGAACCCTGTAAATATAAACTTGAGAAGAAGAACCTCCAGCTTCAAGAAGAATATGCCCGATTGTTTGACCAATTTAAACAGGTAAGATTATGAATGTCATGTTTACAGTCTGATGGTTAGAATAAAAAATAAATATTAATTGTAGGAGTGTAGCCGAAAGATGCTGACAGGAGAATTTTGCAACTCCTCACTCTAAATGCACCAAAAATGATCCCCTACAAACTGCATCCCAACAAACCTAACAGAACCTGAGAAATCATAAATGTCTAACATAACATAAAATTTCTTGCATTTTGATGTTTGTAAGCTCTCTGAAATCGAGTGTTCAAAATTGTACTTCGAGGAAAGCACATCAACCACTGATCCAGTTAAAAGTAAAAGCAAAGTAATTCACTTAGTCTGATCTGCCCAACAGACTCTCTGCCTTCACAGTCAATAACATGACTCCCCTGTCCCCGTACAAGCAGCTGCATTATGCTTTAATTTGAAAAGGAAACAATGCTTAATTAACACACTCACTTAATACTGCTAGACCTGAACTGTGATTTAGCACAAACTTCCATTTTGTTTGAATAAAACCACATTACACTGTATCACCAATGTACAGAGGTCCACAGATGGGTCACTTACATCACTAGGCATTACCCACAGCCTGGTATTTTCTTCTTCCTTCATTTCCCTCTACCTAGCCTTACATTTATAATGCACTTCTATTTAGTCCATGCAATAACAAGGCAGCTCCCATGAGATACAACAGTTGAATGAGGTCACAGTAAGTAAATCTCTGATGAAGTATCTATCGCCTTTGGGTTGGTGGCCTGTGCCAAACTAGGTCACTGCTGTGAAAGGAACAGTGTAGCTGTAAACGTCCAGGAATCATACCCACATTTGTTTCCCTAAGCTAGTGGAGACTAAATCTAGTCATCTATTTCACTTTGGGTCTTCTCTGTAAAGACATTTTCACCCCTGAGCTTCTGATTTCTAAGGAATTGTATATCCTTCTGCTTTCCTTTTGCCCACTTAAAAGCTTTCACCCACACTACGAGGGAGCGCCTGGTTTTCTTCGAATCTCTGAGGTGCGAGGAGGCAGATCCTCGAACAGCCCAGTATGCACCATGAACAGTAAAGAGGAAAGTGCCCCAAATCTAAAGGGATTGCTGCTTATGCAATCAACAATTATGTGTACCTCACTGCCTTAGAAGCCGTAAATTTGAAACCTATCTTTTCAAAGCAACAGAGAGGGATGCTTTGACTTAATGTCTGTGACACTAAGCAGTCTCGATTTGGGCTTCGAGCAAGATGGACATATTCCGTCACATCAGCGAGCAAATACTCATATGGTCAGTTGTAATTGTTCTTTCATTTATCTTAAAGTCATAACCTGATCTGTCGGTTACACATATACATAGCTGAATTACATGTTACAGTGTTAACATATACTGATTTTTCTAAGTGTAAAGGGGTTTACTTCATTACACAACAAATGAAAACAAAGCTTTCTTATGTCACCTATACTAGTTGAACGCACACTGTATAGCCTTGAGAAGAACTGGCTGGTCACAACTTGAAATACTCATTTTCCTTCAAATGCTTCAATCTATATTGTGAGACTAACAGACATACAAGGTTCATCATTCCTGGGTTGATACACTAGGCCACATGGTAATCAGCCCCACCCCACCCAAAGATACTGAAAAAGAAATTCATTGAATAAGAGCAGTAATTTGGAGAAGTTTCACAGTGTATGGTGTGAAATTACTTACCCTTGATGGCGCAGGACTGTGGTGTCTATGGGCCTCTTTCCCACTGACCCCGAGGGTGTTAGTTGCATTTTGGCCCCTTGGATTCGTGCCTTTCATCCTATGGGCCCCACACAAGCAGCCTTTTGCTTTCATGCCTCAATAGGGTTGTAGTTGTAGTCTGAGCAGAGGAAGAATTATTTTTAGATTGTAGCTTTCCATTAAAAATTACAAAATGAATTTATAAGTTATGCTATTCGTCAGATATAATTAGAATGATAAACTGTGAGATGAGATGGCCATGGAGCATGAATCAAGGACAACAGGAATGCATGTAGGATACTGGTGAGAAAGCTAGAAGGAAAGAGATCACTAGGAAGACCTAGACATATGTGAGGATAAAATTCAGATGATTCTTAGATAGGATACATACATACATATACATACATACATATACATTTGCGTTTCAGATTATTCACAAATGTGCACAGGCACAGAATATAAAACATGTCAACAAGCCAACAAGACATTGGAAGCATGTACATTCACAAACAAAATCACTAGCATATATAATCCATACTTGTCAAAAAAAACACATAAAATTGTTAAAAGGAAATACAGATTGCAGCAAATACACATACAATAGTTAAAAAGCAATACAAATTGCAACAAGTACACATACAATAGTTAAAAAGCAATACAAATTGCAACAAGTACACATACAATAGTTAAAAAGCAATACAAATTGCAGCAAGAATATATGAGCACAGCCAAGGACATAGAGTTAAATGAAGTGTACACTGTCAGACACCTCTTGACAGGTCTTGACAGAAAAGCAGGAATTCCTCAACAGTATAAGAAGGGTTTTGAAGCAATACATCCTTTAGTTTCTCAATAAACTGTTTTTTATCATGTACCAACTCAATTAAAAAATCAGGCAAACTATTAAAAACTTTTACACTCATACAATAGACCCCTTTTTGCCTCTTTGTTAGATGCGATTGAGGAACATGAAGGTTTCTAACTTGTCTTGTTGATTTACCATGAATTGTATGATTAAAAGTATAATGCCCCAGATTGTTTACCATTAGTATCATTAAAGATAAAATATATTGAGAAGCCAATGTCAAAATTTTTAATTTTTTAAAAACTGTTCTACATGATTCTCTGGGTTTCATTCCCAACATTATCCTGATGGCCCTTTTTTGTAAAAGAAAAATCTTCTTAGCCTCCCACGAGTTTCCCCAAAATACTATCCCATATCTCATAATTGAATGAAAGTATGCATGGTAAATCATCTTTAGTGTTTCAATATTGCTATACAATTTCATGTTTCTTATTGCAAAGCATGCCTTGCCCAATCTGGACAGCATCGATTCAATCTGTGACTTCCAATTCAGGGTCTTATCAATTTCAATGCCCAAGAATTTAACGTGGGTTTCCTGATGCAATATCTCATCATTAAACTTTAAATGTATAGACATATTATCTCGATTAGTTGTATCAAATTTTACCACTTTAGTTTTCTTCAGATTTAGAGACAGGCCATTAACTGCAAACCAACGGCTTAAAGAATTCAACACTAAGTTAGACCTTACTTGGATTTCATCAATATCAATACCAGACACTACTATGCTTGTATCGTCTGCATACAACAATAACCTATCATCAGTATTTAATGCTGATGACAGGTCATTGATATATAAAAGAAACAGCAAGGGACCCAAAATCGAGCCCTGCGGCACTCCATATTCAACAATCTCCCATCCTGAACAACATTTTTCATTCCCATTAGTATACAATTCCACTCTTTGCCTTCTATTTCCCAAATATGATTTCAACCATCTTAAAGTTTTACCACCAAGTCCATATACAGCCAACTTGCTCAAAAGGATATCATGCACCACACAATCAAATGCCTTTGTCAAATCACAGAATATTCCTAATGAAAGACAGCGTCGTTCCAAAGTTTCTAATATATGATTAGTTAAGGCATAGATTGCAGATTCTGTACTTCTATTTTCTCTAAATCCAAACTGAGCAGATGAAATTAGATTATTTGTATGTAGGTGCTGCTTTATCCTATTATACATCGCTTTTTCAAATATCTTGGAGAAGATTATTAACAGTGATATTGGTCTATAATTTGCCATAACGACCTTCTCACCTGTTTTGTGTAAAGGTCTTACTGACGCAAATTTCATTCTATCGGGAAAAATTCCACGTTCAAGTGATGCATTAAGTATATGTCCAAGTGGTTTACTTATTTGATTAATGCTATATTTTAATATTCTGCTAGAAATACCATCATAGCCTGTAGAATTTTTCGATTTTAGTGTCTTAAGTATATTCTTTATTTCCACCTCAGTTACGGGTATTAATTTCAGTTCAGGTAAGTTATCATACTTAAGGTTATTTAATAATTTAATTGCCTCACTTTTATCAGCATTTTTTGTTGCCAAATTCTTAGTTACAGTTATAAAATGTTTATTAAATATTCTCACTAATTCCTTAGGATCCGTTACTCTACTTTCTCCCACTTGCAATTCTGTTACTTTATCTGAGACCTGGTTTTTTCCGGATTCTTTATTAATAATCTTCCAAGTTACTTGTATTTTATTTTCTGAATTAATTATTAATTTTTGATAATACAGTCTCTTTGCTTCTCTTATTACTCTTACTAGTATCTTACAATATCTTTTATAATATAACTTCAAACTATCATCACTTGATTTTTTAACTAAGATGTATAATGCTCTCTTATGCTTACAAGATATTCTTATGCCTTTCGTTATCCAATTATTAGAGTCTTTCTTTTTTTTATATACTATGGGAAAGCTATTTTCAAAGATTGATAAAAAAATGTTGTGAAAGATATTAAATTTCATATTTACATTCTCTTGATTATAAACTTCTATCCAATTTTCATTCTGTAAAGCCCGTTGAAAACATACTATGTTTTCCTCATTAATGTCTCTATATGCTCTAACATGATCACTTTGCCTCATCACCAGCATGTCTCCAAGTATCAGAATTTGCCCATCGTGGTCCGAGAGACCATTTATAGCAGAACAAACTTGGAATTTGTTATAAGCATTCTTGTCTATAAAAAAATGATCAATCAATGAGACAGAAGTAGTACTTATTCTAGTTGGAAACTCAATTATTTGTGTTAAATTATAAGTATCTAATAAAGCTTGTAATTGTACTTTTTTACAGTTTTCACTAAGGTAATTTATATTCGTATCACCACAGATTATTGGTTCCAATTTAAGGCTTACTAGATATGAAAGTGTGGAATCTAGCCGCTCGATAAATTGACATATATCTCCATCAGGCGCTCTATAAATACATAAAATACATAATTTCCTATTATTTAAAATTATCTTTACAGCACAGACTTCGAAAACCCTTTCCATACTTAAATTTTTGAGATCTAGCTCTTGATATGATAAATCTTCTTTAACTAAAATACATACTCCACCATTCTGACACATGTTACGTGAGAACCCTGCTGCCATTTTATATTTTGTCATAGAAAATATGGATAACTCGCTTATACTCAGATGGTGCTCACTGATACATAAAATATCAGGATAATTACATGCATCATTTAGAAAAATGTCTAGT